AAATAGGTCTGTGTGACTCTCAGATCTAATGGCCAGCAGGTTCTGGCAAGATCAGCATCACCAGTAACCTGGTTATGCAGGACAACTGGTGTCTCCCTATTCCTGAGAACTGTTCGAACTGGAAGTGGGAGAAAGGTTGTAAAGACAATGGTGCAGCCAAAGCAGAGGATCACAGGAGATGGAGAGTGGTGAGCCAGGAGCTGGGGCTACAGAAACTGTGGTGGAAGTCTAAACCAAGAGCCCAGACTTGAAACATGCTGGAGGGACTGGCACAAGTGACTGCAAACAAAGAACTGGGTACCCACATGCAATAAAGCAAAATTGAACTGTAGATCTGTGGGCGACACACCTTAGAAACATGGTCCATGGAGAAGAATATGCTAACCAGAAGTACAAAGACCAAAAGCAAAAGAGGAGACAGAGGCACATTGAGTATTACTGAACACTCCCCTGTGAAGGAACAAAAGCCTTTACCAATTTCAGAGTTACTTGAGGAATACATCAAGGAAATGGGGGATACAGCATTCAGAAAACTCATTATAAAGCTTCTTGTTAACAATCAGAAGTACATACAATAACTTAAAGAGTTTAAGGAATATATCACACAGTAAATATCAATGTTGAAACAAAATCAAGCCAAATCATTAAAAATTAAAGATGCAACAGTGCAAATTAAAAATTCTATGGAAAATTCCAAAACAGAATGAAGGAGGCAGAAAAAAGAAGGTCAGAACACAGGTACACAGTGGCATCATTTTCTTCAATATTCTTGATTTCTTTTTTCATTTCTTTAGTGACACATTAGTCTTTGGTAGCATGTTATTTAAATTCATGACATTGTAAATTTCTATTTTTCTTCCTGTTGTTGATTTTGTTTCATGACTTTTCAATTAAGGGGATGTATAATAACTGAGTAATGGAGACTCTCATGTCCAGATATGAGGATATAATGTAGTATGCATCTCTCCTTCCAGATCAAAGACGGACCCTCAATGAAACTATTCAACATATCTTGACAATAGGATTTTGCACTCTGCCATTTTCCATGCCATCAGTGATGGTTTTATGACTTCATGAAGAACCATACTATCGTAATAATATAGGGGAACTCAGTGGGAGGTAGGAGGGGATTTAGGGAGAAGGCAAAGGAAATCTCAGAACCTATGGAGCTGTGTCATAAAAAAATAATTAAAAAAAATAGAAAAAAAAACCAAAGTGCTTAAGGCAAAAAGAAAAGGTAAGATATTTCCATGTACTTAGAGATGCTAGAGTTTCTACAAATTTCACTAGTGTATTCAACAAAGAGAAACAGCCTAAATTAAACTGTACAGTGGTTAAGTAAACTACTGAAGATATTTGCATATGATTAATCTAAAATTTTAGAATGGGAAAGCAGTTGAGGATGACAACAAAATGCATAGTTATAATTATATTTAGTATAACTGAAATTACATTTAGTATAGTTGATGTTACATTTTGTATAACTGAAAACATTTCTGTAGTGAAAAGATGGGAAGAAAATAAGTACTCACTAATCACACACACGTGACCCTGACCCTGAGGTCAAGCCAACAAATGTAGTCAGTGGGGCCCCTGCATACCAAACCAACTACAGTGAAAGCACAGGCTGTGGGAATGATTGCAGGACGCCCATCTAGAGCCCGAGAGGCTCAGAAACAGGTTCAACAGTTTGGCTAATGCAGGAGATAAGGACTGTAATTCAGGGCAGATACAGCAAATCATCTATAACAAGGAGGGCTGTAATTCTTTTCATGGTGAGTTGCTGGGAAAATCATAAATTGGTCATGGTTAAAATGTGAGAAGGCTCAAAATTATGAGAAAAAAATGAATTATTGAGCTTTTTTGGATTATTCCAGAAGTCACACAACATTCTCTGACAGAAGTGGGAGGTGAGATGTGTAAAGTAATTTCTGCTATGTGAATATTTCAAATTAGGCACTGGGAAAACTTGAGTGGAAAAAATGCAAATCTTTACTTTCAAGTTACTAGAAGGACGAATCTGACAGATCAGCTTTAGGATAAAAGAGCCTGGATAAACATAGCCAAACCATAGAAAATGTTATTTATGTGTACACACATAGCCTGGAAGTAGACTGATGTTCAACTGTATGAAATTTATAACATTTTGGGAGCCTTTTATAAATTTCCTAAGTGTGTGGGTTTTTTTTTTAATTTGTTTATTTGAAAGGCAGAATTACAGAGAACTGAGGGAAAGAGAAAGACATCTTTATTCTCTAGTTCATTCTGTAAATGGACCCAATAGCCTTGCTGGGGCAGGCCCAGATCTCCCTCATGGGTACAAGGGCCAAAGCACTTGGGTTGTCTTGCTGCTCTCTCAAGTGCATTAACATGCAGCTGGTTGAAAAGGGGAGCAGCTGAGACATGAAAAGTTGCCCAAAAGGAATCACAATATTGTAGGTGGTGGCTTATGTATTATGCCATAATGTCAACCTTGTAAGTATGTTTTATAACCCAATCTTTTCAAAAAGATTTATCTATTTTTATTGGAAAGGCAGATATACAGAGAGGAGGGGAGACAGAAAGGAAAATCGTGTCGATTGATTTAATCACCAAGTGGCTGCAATAGCTGGAGCTGAGCCAATCCAAAGCCAGGAGCCAGGAGCTTCTTCCAGGTCTCCCACACAGGTGCTAGGGTCCCAAGGCTTTGGGCTGTCTTGATTGCTTTCCCAGGCCACAATCAGGGAGCCAGAAGGAAAGTGGAGCTGCCGGGGTTAGAATTGGTGCTCATATGGGATCTCAGCACGAGCAAGATGAGGACTTAACAGCCACTAGGCTATCACTTTGGGCCCTATAATCCAATGTTTGTCTTTTTTTCTCTGTCTCTCATTTTACCTTCTTTCCTGTCCAATCTCATGGTCTTTTTTTTTTTTTATGTTACTGCAAGTAACCTTACACACATACACACAAATGGATTTATATATATACAGAGTCATATATGAGCGTGCATACAGAAGAGTTTCTCAAAAATCTTGTGGAGGTCCTGGCTTGGTGGCCTCATGGCTTATTCCTTGCCTTACATGTGCCAGGATCCCACATGGGCAGCAGTTCGTGTCCAGATGCTCCACTTCCCAGCCAGCTCCCTGCTTGTGGCCTGGGAAAACAGTCAAGGATGACCCAATGCTTTGAAACCCTGCACCCACATGGGAGACCCAGAAGAAGCTCCTGGCTCCTGGCTTTCTACCAGCTCAGTTCTGGCTGTTGTGGCCACTTGAGGAGTGAACCAGCAAAGGAAGAACTTTGTATCTGTTAACATTCCTTTCCAATAAAAATAAATAAGTCTTAAAAAAAAAACTGTGGAAAAGGAATTAAAAGACAATTGAAGTGCATGTTTCACAACTAGCTTTCGCACAGCAGTTAGGATGCCATTGGAGATGAGCACATCCTACAAGCTGGATTCAAGCCCCAGCTCCACTCCTAACTCCAAGGACCAGATAGAACACACCCTGGGAAGCAGCTGGTACAGGCTTAAGTAGCTGGATCTCTGCCACCTCTGTGGGCAACCTGGATTAAGTTCTCAGTTTCTGAGTTTGGCCTGGCCTAGTCAAGCCCTAGAGTGAAGCAGCAGTTGCAGGCTGTGTCGCTCTAACTCTCTGCCTCTTAAATAAATAGAAATTTTAAAGACGTGCTTATTTTCACGCAGTAATTTTTGGAAATCTGTATATAGCTTTTCATAATATGCATTTGCATGACTCTTTTGAAGACTTTTGGTATATCCCTACACTGAATCCTCAAAGTACAACGCAGGAAGTTTTCATCACACTCCACAATGGAGTAATTTTGCCTATCCGAAATGTACTACAGCTAAATTAGAATTATTCATCTATGACTTCTGTTCAGAAAAGTAAAAAGAAACAAGAAACTAAATGTTTAGCTAACTCAGCAGAGTGTGCTGTGCTTGCTGTGTGGCAGAACTGAGAAACCTTCCAAAGCACTGGCTTCTTAGGCCCATCAGCCCTCACCTAGCTTAGGGTTATAGGTGAATTTGTTTTCCTGCCATTATAGCACCTCAGGTAATGCCTGCCACCTCCCCCAGGGCGGGTTCCAGGAGGATGTAACCTGCTGTGCTGACTGCTGGAGACCTGGATCTGGCACGTGTAAGCAATGAATAAGGGAGTGAATATGTAAATCCTATTTATCCCCCTAGACACAGCTCCACTTTCACCCCTGGGCCCTAGAGATTGAAGTAGAAATTATTACATTAGCGGTCTCCTACACCACTTAGCACCTGCTTCTTCACATTGTTTTTATTGCTGTTTTTTTCTGGTTGTTTTCTTTCTTTACAATTTAGGGAAACATGCCCCTCAAGGGGACACACACACAGACACACTTTTCCAAAGCACTTTCTACAGGATGCAAGCAAAATCCTCAACAAATCCTTCAAAGCTGTGATATTTCTAAACATTCTCGTTAGGGAATGTCTTGTATTATGATTTCACAGTTTGGCAAAGACAAAATAAAGACTTTTGCAGAAGATGCACTGAGCTTTTAAGTGCGGCTACTTCACTGGTGGTAAAGCCGTCTAAACTATAGTCTTGGGTCCCAATTTGTAAACTCAGAGCATTAGCATAAGCAACAACAAAACTAAGTTTGTGTTTATTTCAGAGGCAAGACTGTGCTATCCAATACAATAATGTAAATAAATAGGTTTTGCAAACGGGCCAGCACATACTAGCCATTGTATTTAACCAAATAAATTTAAAACCATAGTTGAGGTTTCAGGGTTACAGGGATTAACAACATTGCAGTAACAGCGAAGGCGACTTTTTGTGAAAACAGTTATGAGGCAGGGGAGCAAGGAGATGTGTAGAAGCATTCCCAGCATGATCTGCCAAGCGCGCCCTAGTCATAAATCTCAGGCTGTGTGGGCAGCGCTCACCAAGTGCAGAGATTACCGGGCACCTGTCACCCACACCCTCTGGCACTGCCTCGGGCAACCCCACAACCAAGGGAAAGCTTACCAGACACAAGCTGCTGTCCAGGCAACCCCACGGGAACCATGCCCAAGTTGTTCATGGCTGTGGCCCAGGCTGTGGGATCTGTCACAGACATGTTGAGCTGGGTCGTGTCTATTGCTATACTCCCCAAACCATCGGCTGCCGGAGGGGAAAAGAAACTGAGATTTAGAATCGATAAGCAAGGATGCTATGTTTTGAAAGAAATCATGCTTCTTGAAGACTTGAGGCTTCATGTGGCACAATCCAGCCCACCCCACCTCCCTCCGCCCTGACACACACACAAACAAATTAAAGCACTATAATCATCAGCAGTGTTTCCTGCAGATATAAATATAAAAGCATTCCCAGTTTCTGGGAGGGAACTTAATGACATGTAGTTTACAATATACACAGCATGCCATTGCAAAGTTACCCCTAGAAAAAGCCTGAAGGATCGCTTCCTTCTCCCAGTGAGGCAACATCACAGAAATGACAAGGCTGAGAGACAAAGCAGTTAACACCCTCTGGGTAAAAACAAGTCAGATGCCTTAGTGAACTAAAAATAAATAAAGCCATGTTTCCAAGTGTAATTCTGGAGTAGCACAGCTTCTAACTATCGAACAGAAGGACAACTACCAACTAGTAGAACTAGTCCCCACCGGCTTTATTAAGAGATACTCTGTTCCATGTCTGCCCCTGCCAACACCTTAACTAATTTTTAAAACATTTACATAAAAAATGCAGATGTCTGCCTAAAGAAATTTTTTTCCAAATTATTTCTTAAAGCACTGATTTTTATTATAAACCAAACCATGATGAATAAATAAAATTAAAAAGCAAATATCAGAGAGGAACAAAGAGAACCATGGAGCGTGTGAAATTTGCCTTCATGCTCTTTGAATTACATGGGCCCCGTGGCCTGATTTGTTCCAGGGTCCAGATTCCCAGGACAGTGCGCAATTCCACAGCGGAGGAAGCTGTGCCATCCGGAAGGTTACAGTGCCCTGTCTGTGAGGCGTGAGGACGATGCACATTTACCTGCAGCCATCATCTGAGGAATCTTCGGAGGACAATGGGTGATGCTCTCAACACCACCTGCATCTACCACTGAACTGTGAGCCTCTCCAGGGCCAGGAGTGCTCTGATGGCCGGGTGCAAGTTTCCCTCGGAGATCATCAGACTCTGCAAAAGGGGAACAGGTGTGCTGTGATACACCATCCCAGTTAACCCAGGAGAAAACTTCAAGGGAGAAGCTGTTGTCTGTGCAAATATAAAAACATGCCAACAACTTTCAGTCTCAGGCACCCAAGCAAAGTTACTTCCATCCGTATCATGGCTCACATTGGAGGTTTGTAGGTCAACTTACACACAAGCCCACAGCCCCGCTGGCTGAGCAGACAGCGGCACGTGTGAGTGCACCGGGCGTTTGGTTCCTTCTGAAGAGCCTGCACAAATGGGGGCTTATCAGTCCCTGCACAGCCTCTTCCATTTATTACACATCAATGGCAGGGCAGACTCAGGGCTCAATGTGATTTTTTTTAAGTTAAAAATTAATTGATGTTGTTATTTTGGAAGACGGCCGTCTGTGAAATATATTCAGGAAGGCAAAGAAAAAAAATGGGATGAAGAAGAAAAAAGCAAGGACTGATTCACTGTAAGACTGGAAATGGAAGGCACTTCCACCAGGACAATGGTGAGAAAAAGCAAAGGGGAAGAATAGAATAGCGTGTGGTTCTTGAAAGAAGTGCGAGAGGGCTGAGGAAGCAGGCAAGTATTTGTTTCTTCAGCTCTACAGAAAGATAAATTTAAATGGCCACAATTCATTTGGTCTCAATTTTCCTTAGATTCACACAGCATGTACATATGAATTTCCATTATATTTTAAAGCATATTTCTAATAAATGCAAGTAACAATAAAGCATTAAATGAAGTTACACTGCTTTCACACTATTTATAAAATGCTACAACTCCTCTCTGCTCTGGACAATATGAAAACACAGAGCATTCCTATTTTAAGAGCTCTTTCACCAGTTCAAACCCTGTGTGAAAAAATGGGACAAAGCACCCTGCATATAACAATGTTTATCAAATGTTTATTTTCATTTAAGGAGGTATTTAGGAATTTTTCTGAACTGTGTTTCTGTGAATGACTACTTCAGAATTAAATGTTATGGTAATTTGTCACTATATTCAAGGTGAAGTTAGAATCCTATATGGCAAGTTTTATATTTCTTTGGTTCTTGGGTGCAAGAACAAGCAATCCTTTATGAACCATACCATCAAAAAGAACTTCTTGCCAGTTGAGCCAAAGTTTAGTTCACATGGTACCTCAAATTTTAATATTTCAAGACTAGATGGGTAACAAGAAAACGGTTCCTGTGGGCTCCATTTGTCTCTGGGCTCCAACTAGATAGGCCTTGCGGAGGATCGTTTCCTGTTTGTCTATCTGGAGGATGGAACATCATCTTCCAGCAATGAATGATTCTAAATTTAGGTGCAAATTATACCCCGAAAAAACATTCTTTACACTAGCCATTCAATCCCATTACCCAAAAGCAGTCACACCTTGCTCATACTTTATCCATCAATTATTATAAGCCATGGGTACCATCAGATAGAGACTCTTACCACCTAAATCAAATCACTGTCATGAGAAACGCACAGCTAACCTATATGCCTTCCCTGTGAACTCTCCACTGACCAGCTATGTTTTGATGAGGAATTTTTAGAGCATTTTTTTCCTGCCCACTTCTGTTCGGAGTCAGGCTAGCATGTGATTTCCTTCTGCTAAAAATGGTCCTGAGGTAAAGACATTTGAATATCCGCAAGGTCACTGTCCTACTGGTCTCCTCATCCCAAGTTTGATCAGTTGGATTTCTCTGAAATCCAATTCTTGTCAAATGAGTTTTGATCACATCTTTGTCTTGTCTAATAAGCCTGCAGACTTGGGACACTGTATCACAGGATATCCTTTAAAAAGTGAGCTTTATGACCTGAGACAAAGGGTCACATTTCTCCTTGAGTTTCTGCTACGATGTTTTAAGGATGCTCCTTTTTTGTAGCTCTGTAACCGTGTTCCAGTGGTAGCTCTCACCCTAGTGGTGACTACACTGGGCATGAAATAACCCAGCAACACTTGCCTTCTACTAGCACTTTTCATGGCCTTTTTAATAAACAGCAATTGTTTCCTCAGAGAAAGAAAAAGAAAGCAATGTCCTCATGATAAGATAGAGTTTGTAAACCTGGTATTATCCCCTAATAAGATTCTGTAACATTCAATTTGTTACAACTTTTTAATCTCCCAATCTAATAGCTTTAATGGCATGAACTTCATGTGGTTACCATGTATCTAAGAGAGTGAGTATAAGATAACTTCTGCCAAATCTTGGGCATTTTCAATAGTCTTAAGACTGCCATGACACTCATTACAAAAATTAATCTAATTTGATCAATCATCTTTGAAGAAAGGTAGTACTTTTAAATTAATTACTACCTAGTCATTTATGAATAGTTGGAAGAGCTATTTTTGGGCTCCACTGAAATCAATTTCTCAGCCTTAGTTTTCTTATTTCTAAACTAGAGGGAAGATTAATATTCTTAATGATGTTTATTTACACACAGAGATGTGGGGAGTTAAAAATTATGGCTAATAAAGCACTTTGAGTATAGTAGGTGATAATTAGTATTATTTTATTTGGAAGTGTAGTGTTTCCATTAGGGTGCCCTGGGATCTTTGTATTCTGGTGAGTAATTATGTAATTAATTCTAAAAGAGTGAATAACACTTGATATTTCCAAAAGTAAGTATTGCCTTGTTTTTTTGTGCCATACCTAAACTGCAGCAGAATTTCATTTTCCACAATTCTTTTAGAAATCATCTAATACAATTTAAAAGATGTATGATTTTTTTTCCCTCTTGGTTTTTTTCCCTCTACGCAACTATAAAAGCTTTCAAAGAGATTCATGACCAATTATGAAATTGGCAGCATCTATTTTCAGCTTTTAGTGTGGTGTGATCATTACAAAACAATCAGCTGTACAAAATGTCAAGGATAACAGAACAGCTTTGTCCGGGGCTTAATGGATATAGAGCCTGTTCTTTGCTAAGACATATCCATTCACAAAACCATGCCCAATTTCACAACCATTCAACAAAATATACTTACAGTTAGTGTTTCATTAGACTAATTTAATGTGGCAAATAGTTTTGAAACCTAGAAAACCTGTGCAAAATAGTATTTAGCTTTAAAAAATTGAAAAGACTGCTCTCACTCTTAATGGCAACACTTCTTAATCTTTGAAATATTTACAAGTAAACCAAAGATACACATTCTGGACAATAAAACCCATCTGTAATTGTTTTCAAGATACAGACTCCTATCAAAAATGGATATAGGGATAGGCATTTGTCACAGCAGTTAAGACTTGGTTGGGACACATGTATCCCATATCAAGAGTATTCTCAGCATCAGTTCCCAGTTCCAGCTCATAATTCCAGCTTTCTGCTAATGTGTGCCTTGGGAGGCAGCAAATGGCAGCTCCAGTTGTTGAATCCTTGCTACCCACTGGGTTCCCAGCTCCCAGGCTTAGGTGTGGCCTGTTTCCAACCCTGTGGGCATACATGTGTGAACCATTACATGGGATTCTGTCTTTCCTTGTTTATCTAGTTCTCTGCCTCTCAAATAATGTTTTTTTAAATAAAAAAGTGGGTTACAGAAATAATAAGAAACAACAGCAGAAAAAGTCTCCTTTGGGAAATTACATTGTAATCATCTCCTGTGTCCATCTACAGAAATGTCCTCAAGTCCACATTGTTCCTTAAATCTTAGGAACACAGTCTTGAGTACTGGGGATTGTATTTGAGTTGACGGCTTTGAGAAAATAATGAAGAAGTAGCTGAAAATTGAGAGGCCTAATCTGAGAATTTATATAATAAAGCATGATAACATATTCAAATCTATCATAAGGTTCTATTTATTAATGATCAATATCTAATTTTTAAGTAAGAATAGAATTTAGGTTTTAAGAAAGAAACTGAAATCAACAAGGTGATGGGAAATTTCTGGTCAGAGGATGGCCAGGTAGGAATCCTGTCCCAAATGAAGCCAACACATACCAACTGAGAGATAATGGGATATGTTACCTCTTGGGAATGGTAAG